AGCCGAACACAGCCGCGAGGCGGTGCGGGGCCTCGTGGGCATCGGCCTCTCGCGGGCCCGTGCTCCCTCCAAGCCGACCCTCGTGCGTGAGCACGCTGCCGCGCGCTGCTCGGCTCGCGGCCGGGGCGGTCGTGGCGCTGCTCTGCAGGACCACCTCTGCGCGGATCCCAAGGAAGACGAGGAGGAGGAGGAGGAGGAGGAGGAGGAGACGGAGGAGGAGGAGGAGGAGGAGGAGGAGGAGGAGGTGGGCGGCGGAGGAGGAGGAGGAGGACAACGACGACATGGACTGGGGGAGGAGAAGGACCCTGAGATCCGGCGCCACGAAAGCATTGCAACATCGGCTACGGGAGCTCGACGGCAGCCTGGGATCAAATCTTCCTGCACCATTTCCCGAGCCCCAAGCCGGATCGATCCGTGAGAACCTCAGGCCCGAAAGAAGGCAACGCCACCCGCTGCGAGCACAAAGTGCGACACCAGGATTTCAGGGAAGGAGGGAGGAGGAGGAGGAGGAGGAGGAGGAGGAGGAGGAGGAGGAGGAGGAGGAGGAGGGGGAGGGAGAGGAAGAGGACACAGCGACGGCGGCGGCGACGACGTCGAGAGAGCACACGGCGCGAAGCCGACGACGACGACGACGACGACGACGACGACGACGACAACGACGCCACGGCCGAGGTTCGCAGCGCACGGCCGAGGCGGCCACGCGGCGGGCTGTCGGCGGCTCGGCGACCCCCCGCCCCTCCCGCCGGCTCCTCCCCGTCCGCTCGGCCGATCGCCGATCGCCCCGCTGGGCCGGCCGCCGCGGCCGCCGCCGCGGGCGTCCTCGTCGCCGCTGCCGGCTCTGTGAAAACGCCGCGGGGGGGCGTCCCGCCAGCGACCGCCCCTCGGCGTCGCGGGGGGCCATGTGGCCGCTGGCGTGGCTGGCGGCGTGCGCGGGGGCGCTGGCGGCCGCCGTGCTGCTGCTGGTCCCGCCTCATCCGTCCTCTTCTTCCTCCTCCTCCTCCTCCTCCTCCTCCTCCTCCTCCTCCTCCTCCTCCTCCTCCTCCTCCTCCTCCTCCTCCTCCGCATCCTCCTCCTCGTCCTCATCCACATCCTCGTCCTCCTCCTCCTCGTCCTCATTCTCATCTTCATCCTCCCCCTCATCCTCCTCATCCTCCTCCCTTCCCCCTGCTCCTCCACCTCATCCCATCACGAATAGTCGGTCAAGCCATGGGAAGCTAAGAAGGGTCGTCAGGGGCCTAAGGATCACGAGGTGGGTCGAGAGAGGAGTGGCCATCTCTCCCAGCGCCTCGTCAGGTCGGATTGCAGCAGTCGAGAGACCAAAGTTCTGGATTGCAGCAGTCGAAAGACCGAAGGAAGTTGGGGAGGCACTCCGACCTGGGCATCTTCACGGTCGGTAGGTCCCTCACACGCCTCTGCATGAGGGAGGAGGAGGTCCGTTTTCAACAGTTTCAAGGATGGATGGATGGATGTCCGTTTTCAGAATGTGGTTCTCGCTTTCGCGCCGCGCACATTCGTTCTGAAAGTGTATCGCTTTGGGAGTCGTATGGCTGACGTCCCAGGAAAAGGTGTTCCCGCACGATTTAGGACTGCCAGGGCGCAACAGCCACGTTGATTCGCGGTGTTGGAATATCAGGAATGGCGTTCTGGTGCGATTCAGGATCCTCAGGACGCAACCGTAAAGTTGACTCGCGGGGCTGAAGTCCAAGGATTTATGTTTTGGCACGTGTGAGCAGTATCAGACGGTTGTCTTCCAACACGGAATTCCCCGCAGTGAAAGAACATGTTGTACGGGGTTGATGAAGAATAACAAATTTGGAAGGAGAAGTGGCTACATCATTGTCAATGCGTCTTGGGTTTACACTGATCTCCTGGTTCCTGCTGCTGGTCCTCCTCCTCCTCCGCTTCCTCCTGCTGCTGCTCCTTCTCCTCCTCCCAGCTTCTCTTCCTCGCTCCTCCTCCTCACCCTCTTCCTCCTCCTCGTCCTCGTCGCTCCTCCTCCTCCTCCTCCTCCTATCTCCCTCTCCTCCTTCCTCCTCCTCCCCTCCTCCTCTCCTCTCCTCCTCCTCCTCCTCCTCCTCTTTTCGTCGCTCCTCCTCGCTCCTCCTCCTTCTGCTCCTGCTCCTCCTCCTCCTCCTCCGCCTCCTCCTCCTCGACCCTCCCACTTATTATTCCTCATCCTCCTCCTCCGCCCCCCGGTCAGGCTCATTCGTCATCCATCTCCGCCTCCTCCTCCTCCTCCTCCTCCTCCTCCTCCTCCCCTTCTCTTCCTTCTCCTCCTCCTCCTCCTCGCCTTCCTTCCCTCCTCATTCGTCATCCTACTCCACCTCCTCCCCCCTCTTGCCTCCTCCTCCTCCTCCTCGCTCCCCCCCACCTCGGTCGCGCTGCTGCCACAGAGGCGCGCAGGTTCCAGGGGGCGGCTCCGCGTGGCCTTCGTGCATCCGGACCTGGGGGGAGGAGGAGTAGGAGCAGGAGCAGGAGGAGGAGGAGGAGGAGGAGGAGG